CTTGGAATATTTCAAAAAAATCACATCCCCTAATCCTGGGGTTGCTGGAAATCTGTGTTCTTACAGATGTTTATGAGTTTTCCTGGTTCAGAGATAGAATCAATTTGCTTGCGCCTGGCCCTCAAGATGTATTAAATTTATCCTGAAGGAAACTGGTTTCTGAAAAGCTCTCTGCCCAGATGCATTAGCCAGGTGGGAGTTTCAGTGAACCAGAGGGTCCACTAGCAGATGCAGCATTGATTTCTGAATGTTCACAATCTCGCAGGCAGCTCCAGAGCAGACTTGATTTGATGGCTCTCTATGGGGTGCCCTGCAGACTCGATTATCTCCACCACCAGTCTGGCTAGCATTGTTTCATGGCGACAACGCTCTGTGCTTTGAGCTCCTGCTCAGATGGGCTAGGCAATGCATGGACCAGGGAGGGAGACTGAACCAAATCCACAGCAAACCTCTGAGAATAGCTCATTGCTGTCAGGGTTCAGAGATGTGGCAGCCCTTGGAAATGGGAGCAATGCTTACTTTTGAAAAAAGCATTCTGTGGGGTGTCATGAAAATACATTCTGCTCCAGGTAGTGATAAATAATGGCATGAAGGTCCTACCCCAGACAGGATTGAAGCTAGAAAGGCCATAAGGAAAACCTTTGTCCATGTACAAAAAATTAAAAAACAAACAAAGCCCCCTCCCAATACATTTTTCATCCTTGAGTGATTTGCTTTACGGACCTAAGCCTCAAAGACCACACTTAAAAATTTCTCAAGCAAATGTCCAATATCCTTGAGATAATTTTCTTTAAAGCAATCTGACTGTGCTATCTAAGCAGCCAGACTTCAGTAAAAGGCAGTCAGTATGTAATGTAAAGTCATAAAGTTCTTTCAAGTATATTAACGAGTGCACATGTACATTGGGCAGCTCCACACAGCACACACGCTGACCCCATGGCTCCAAGACATAGCCTACACACCACCCTATCCCCACTGGCATCTTAAAAACACATCTATCCATGCACTCCCCAAACCACTGAAGAGATTTGTTACACATTCCTAAGAGTGCAAAATTCATCATGGCATGGAAATTTAAAGGAAATAGGGTCGAGTAACATTTTGGAAGGAAGATGATTTGTATTTTCTTCATTCCCAAGCAGTGGGAGCCCTACTGAGGCAACAGCCTGCACCATGTATGGCCCAGGACAACCCCACAGACACAGAACATTCTAATGTAAGACCACCCCCCCCCCCCGCCACTCAGGGTGGCTGTCACAAAGCCCCGGTGTTAGGGGCTGATATTTTGGGATCTCATGGACAGATTAGACAATTTTTGCTATGGAAAGCTGCATTTCCTTCCAAAGTTGGTCTTCAACCTAACAGCAAGACTGAAACAAGAAAAAAAAAAAAAGAAATCAAATTTTCAGGCTGGCTTATATCAAACCACATTTCCAGCTCTAGGACTTTTCATTGTCTTCCAGGGCAAGCTCTTCTCCTCTCCATAGAGCCCAGGAAGTAACATTACAACCAGTGGCATAAAGTAACTCTGTCAAGTGGAAACTCACAGGACATAATTTTGGCCCTGAAAACATTAAAGCTGGACTTCTGTGGGAGGCAGCGAGGCACAAAGAAAGTGTTATGCACAGTGACATTCAATTCCCCCTCCTGCTTCTAAGCAGACCAGCTAAGGTTAAAGACAAAATGATATTTTGCCCCAAGAAAGTTACAATCTATCATAAAATGAAAAGGAGTTAATCATAGAAAGCTTGACTCAACTTTGGAATGAAATGCAGCAATGAAAACATAAGTATTACTTTTTTCTCTAGGAGTTTATGAATCTGAGAGCAATTTGGTATTTATTACTGTAGGCTAAATGTGTTTAAAACTCTATTCTTTCATCGTTCTAGTTTACCAGCAAATCTAAAGATGAAATAGAAAAAAGTGTATGTATATACACTAAAGAATATTAATAAATAGAAAGTTCAGTTAATAGGCAAACAATGGAGCTGGATATGAATATTCAGAAACTTGCAATATGACCAAAAAATGATCAGAACCAAGTTTCACAGCTTTATGTGAAGGGTTAATATGTTTTCCAATGCCTTCTGCTTGAGCTTGAGGTACACTGAAGATATTTTTGTTTCATTTTTGGAAAGGCATAGTTTTCTAAATAGAAGAAATCACACCCTTCCTCCCCAAAAGTTGTATTTTCTGTCAAATATTCACTGTCATTGTCTAAATCAAGCTAAAGTAGAACAACATTTTTAATTCTGAAAAATAAAAGCCAAGTCTAAGCATTAAGTGAGCTAAAATATTCAGGAAACTGCAGAAATACAGTTGAAGTCTAATAATTTATACTTAGGTTCCACCTTAAAAACAGATGAAATAATTAGGTCAGTTAAAATGAATGCCTTGCCTTTTTAAGGAGAATTGTTAAGAGAGGATAGAAGTATTTATCGGCGAAGCCCCCCCGCAAGATAGATGTTGATTTCACTAAATATTAAAACACCCATGTTGCAGCAGAGCCCCAGAATTATATAAGAAACCATGTTACTCATGACAATAGAAAATTGGGGTTCCAGCAGCTTGATTCTCACTTTTCAACTCAGGAAACTGATTCGCAAAATGATCTCTATTTTTCTGAAAAGGTCTGAAAATATCAAAGGTTGTGCTCATTTTCCTATCTCCAATCTGTAGATTCTACAGATTGATGATAACTTCAGTTTGGTTTTCACCACCTCCTCCAGTGAGTTGCTGGTTAAATAAACTAAAATCTTCTCCCAGCTAGGAAAAATATACACTAGTCAAAACTAATTATGTCTGGGCTTTCGTTGCCACACCGCTTGCTAATTTTGCTGGTCTCCGTATACTGTTCCAGAAAATATTAATTAGCCACGTTGAATAATGGCTGCTGTAAATTTCTGAAAACAATTATCTCTAAACAGTTAATTTTCACTTCAGACTTATGCACGGGAAGATGGATACAGCGGCCACCCCAAGCCAACAGTAAATGACTATTCTTTTGTTACTGACCATAAGGAGTTGAACTTTGCTCCACTTTGGAAAAGCGGAGCCACTGCTCTGGAAACCACAGGAGGACAGGACATATTTACCTGGAGGGGGTGTCAAAGACAGACCTGAAGAACTGCACAACAAAGTAGTCCGAATGGATCCTCTGCGCCCGTAATCCCACACGGCACCATCAGCTCAAGCCAGCCTCTGACAACCGGTCCTTCCCACGGCAGCCACCCCTGCCTTCCATCTTAGGGACTCACCCAGAAAAATCCTCCAGCCTGCTCCACGACTACAAAACTCTTCTAATGCTTTTGAATGCCCACCATTTGTTCTCCATTCATCCAATCAACTTTCCACTGCACATCTCTCTCTCTCTCTCTGTCTCTCTCTCCTCTCTCTCTCTCTCTCTCTCTCTCTCTCTCTCGGCGCGCAGACCCGGGGCCACTTCTCATCTGTATGCTAATTATTTTGCCACATGGACAAAAGTAATAATGCTTTCAGACAGAAAACTAACAGGCCTGAAGTTGGAGATGGAAATTAATAAGTTGACACCACTAAACGACGGGGAGACGGGCATGCTGCAGCGCCCTGCCTGGTTGGTAGCACGCAGACTCCATCCAAAGGCAGCAGACAGGCAGCCCTGGGCTGCCAATCCTGCCCCGGCTGTGGGAACCAAGCTCCGCTTTCCTCAGAGACCACAGCACTGCAGCAGAATAACACTGGAGCACAGTGCTGACTTACCCTGGCTCAGGCTGCGGCCGCTAAGCAACACAAAACATATCCATTTCCTCAAATCCTAACACAGGAGGGAACTTCACTGCTGATCTAGGTATTTTTTTTTTTTCAAGCTACAGCTGTGGATGAAAGCAGCGATTTCTAACATTCCTGTTTATTAAGCTTGCAATACAGTCAGACCAGATTGGGATGAATGCTACAGGCTTCTTACATTGTACCCACAGGCCCCTAAATCTCTGGAGCAGAATGTGTATCATGTGTGGTGCTGTATTTAATGTAATAGATGAGAACTGTAAATACCAGAGTCAGACTGTTCACGGCTACCGCCGAGGCAATACATCTAAAAATATCTCCCCTATCACTGATGTTATTGTAAATTCATGCTGTGGCCAGAGAAACCTCACAAAAGTCAGCTGAACCTACAGGGTTTTAAATGGTACTACTGCTTAACATAGAAACAAAACACAAAGAGATTCGCAGACCTCCTCCTACCACTTCTGGAGATGGGAGAATGGAGACTCAAGAGTTAACTTTAAGTGATTCTTAAAATCTCTTTTGGCTTGCCAGCCGCACCATATTATTCTGTTTTAGTAGAAGCTCCTTTCTCAGTTTCTTTAAAACAAGAGACAGAACTGTTTCCCTAAGAAAGTTGCACGATTAAGCCTCTTAGTATTTTTTGCAGGAAAAAAAATCAGAAAAAGTTTATTCTGCAAAGCAAGACCCAGTAAGGATTCAAAATACAAAGGAGAGCACAGGTAGTTGATTTTCATTATCATCTTTCTATTTTTTAAAAGTGCTGGTTTTATAAATGGCTTCAGAGTCCAGCAATAAATGCTCTGCTCCACTGGTAACTCTACCATCACGCTTGGCAAGTCTCTCTCTGGTAACACTCCGGGCTCCAAGGCTCCGGTAAATCATAAAGGCCACCTTAGCACCTCCCCCTCCCCCAGAAGCTCGCCGTGAACGCACACACTCCTGTTTAACAACAACTCCAGCACCATGCAGACAAGAGGCCCACGGAGGTGGACGGAGGGGCAACTCCGGCTGCAAGCCGGGCCATTGTTGCTGTTTGTGTACCAGACCACGCGATGCTAAGAAGTGCTGTAATGTGCAATCAGACAGGAGCCAGAGATGGCCAGGTGGAAAAGCAGCTTTCTGCTGAAGTACTTCAGAGCATATCTGTAATAATTCTCAAAGGCTAGGAGCTGCACCAGTCAGGCAAATAAAAAAACCCCACATGTCACCTTGAAATAAAAGGAAAGAGGTACCTTTTTGTGCAAGAGCTGGTAGCCATGGAGCTCAGGGCTTCTCTGCAGTCTGTTTCTCACTCACGCATCTCTGTCTGCCATGGGGAGCTCAGTGCACGTGCTGGTCACAGCTCCCCCTGGGCTTCCATCCTGTGCACCCCACCCGCCAGGACCCTCTCCCTGCCAGCTCTCTTTCCACAGTGAGAGGTGAAGGCAGAGACACGCAAGAGACCCACACAGAACACAGCACTAACTGTGGCTTCCGTGGGGAGGCTGACACGGAAGTCCCGAGTTACCAAAAACACCTCTTGTAGCTCCCAAAGGTAATTCCTCTGAAGCTGGAGTCTGGCTGGCGCATGGAGACCAGACTCACTGGTTCCTACACAGGGTCCAGCTCCCTTCCCAGCCAGCCCTGCCGGGAACCACCGCAGTGTGCAAACAAGCAGGCTTTCCAGGGAGTACCCTGAGCCATTCCATCTCCACGGCACAAGACCCCCCACTTCCCTTGGATATGCCCTCCCCCTCCCAACTTTCCTGATGACCCCACATAGGGAGTAGGGATTCTTTTTTTCTAAGAGAGATACATTGTAGGAAATTTTTATTAACAGAAAAACCCAATACAGTAGGGTTGATCAGTGATTTTTCGTACAATAAATAAGCATTGGTGCCTACTTTCTAGTTTTATAACACCTGGCTTACATTTTCTCTGCCATCTCTGATACTTCTGTGGATACCCCGAGGACCCATTAGGATGTCAATGCCAAAAACAGTTTCACTGTGGAAACATGCATAGAAAAATCATTGTGTATGCTTGAACAATGCAGGTGTGAAGGAGGAACAGAGAGGAGACAGAGAGGCGAGAGACAAACAGGGACAGAGTTAAAGAGAGAAGGGACAGAAGATGGGGGGGCAGAAGGAGGGAAGAGAGAGAGAGAGAGAGAGAGAGAACACAAAGATACTCCAAAGTGAGCCACGTTGCCTGAAACAGAATCTATTGATGGAAAAGTGTACAGCTCTTAAAATAACCTGATAGCGAGTAAATCATTAAAAAGTGGAGTATTTGATATTACTCCCTCTATAAGTAATGGTCACTAGAAGCAGAATTCTTAATATGTGAGGTATGGCAATTTTCAATGTCTTTTTTCATATAAGCCACATGGTGTTGGTTCATGACCCTCCCACACTTCTCCCCACCAAAAAAAAAAATCTATGCTATATATTATTTTTAAAGCTTGTAATATTTTTTGGTGTTAGTTTGGAATAATTGTAGATCAGTTTCAGATATAGAATTGTAGGACAGAGCACAGTAGGGTAAAACTTAGCTTGGTGCAAAACCTGTTAATCATTTCTCAGTTTTTGTTCAAGTTTATCCTCTGTGACTCCTTTCTGAGGAATATTTAAGAGATTTTTTTAAAAAAAGAGAAACAGACATTCATGGAAAGGGCTCTTTAAAAAAACCTTGACAATAAGAGCATGCAAAATGCCATAGGAGTCAAAGCAAGCTGTGGAGTAAATTGGCAGTGAGATCCAGCACCCCTGAAGTTCTCTCTTGGAACCTGCCATTCATCTGCTCCCTGGACAGAGTTCTGGGGAGACACCACATCAAGGTAGACTTTCTGGCCAAGTACCAGATGCATTTTAAAAAAATGGTTATTGATTAGAAATTGCAATCTTGGACTAAAGGGGGCACCCAGCTGAGCCCAATTCCAACTCCAATCAAAAAAAGCATTTTAGTTTTCCTTCTTATCCACAGAATAGATTTTCTTATGTAAAATACCTGAGAGTGTGTAAAACTTTGTGCTGTTAGAAGTTAAACATGTGGCCACTGCATCTCGTGATAAGTAAACAAAGTATCGTAGAGGACATGGTAAGTATTTTTAAAACAATGTCTGTTCCTCAGATTGGATTAGTTAGCGGATTTTTCAATGTCTAGCTCATGCTTGTGACATTAAAATATTTTTTCTTAACAAAATTAATTTTTTCATAGAAGTAATTAGCTTTCCAAAGTCACACACATTAAGTATTCCTAAAGCCAGATGAACAAATAATCAGATTATCAAGTCAACATTTTGAATTTTAAGTATAATTTTAATAAATAGAAAAACTTTTAAAAAGCTTTGAAATTGCAAAATAACTTCTTTCTTTCTCCTAATCATTGAAAATTGACAAAGAAAACAAGACAGAAATCATCAGATAGTGAAATCTCTGGTTTAGGAATAAACAAAAGCATAAAGTATTTTTCAAAAGGTAAAAATATATAAATCAGGTGAGCTAGACAACAGGATCAATGAAAACAAAACATTAAAGAACACTCATTCTCTGAAAATATCCACATATTTAAAAAATCAAGCCCATACAGCTTTTGTTATCCCAAAGAAGACTGTGCACTTTTATCCCTTTAAGAAGTTTTGTATATCACTCATACATAGTCACAAATAATCAGGCTTTCAACCTCCAACCCAGCTTTAGCATAAATTTATGAAGCTGGCATAAGTTATGGCACCAGATGCAAGTTTTGCTCAGGGGAAGTTGACATTTAGGTTTCCTGCATACTCCCTGTCTTACTGAAACACCAGATAAACCTGGGTCTTCTTTTCAAAAGTGAAATCATATTAAAACCCACTAATATTTAGATAAAGATTTTTCCATTTGAAAAGTGTCAGTGTTTATATTCTTTTAACTCGCAATTATGCATACACAAGTAATTTCTCCCGATTTATATATGCTTGGTAAAATTTTGAACATAGGGTAAAATGTGTATGTAATGGCAGCTGGAAGGTCTTTACAAAATAAAACTCTTCAAGCAGGGAGATCTGAGCTGCCACCATCTTCAAAACACCCAATTGTGACCGTAAAGGCTGCTCCTACTTCTACCTCAATGAGCAACATCATTAGGGTGATGAAAGCGAGCTATTTTCACATTGCCAGTAAACCTGTAGGAAGCCAGCCCCCTGCTCAATGCAATCGCTATCAGCCGCGGACAGCTCCCGGTGCTGAAAGGGAGGCAGAGGGACTCTGCTCACAATGGCTCGCTCCACCAGCTTTGAAAAATCACAGTAAAACTGAATGAGGTGGCAAGTGCTCGGGCTGAATAGCACTGTCTGCTGAACAATAGCAGCCAGCTCCAAATCCTACCATAATCACGTTAATGAGATTAATCAGTGAATTAGCAGCAGTCAAAAGTCAGGGAGGCAAGGAAGAATCCAACCAAGATTGGTAATTAACTTTTTTGTGGGGGAGGGAAGAAAGAAGAATAAACTGCTACCTTTTAGGTTTTCTAGAAGTTGAAAATGTTGATTCACAGGTCTAGAAGACTGTAGGTAAACAGGAAAAGCAAAGGAATAATCTTTCCTATTACAATGCACATCCAGGTATCATGTTCCTGTTGCTTGAATTATTATCTTTTAAGGAAGCTGATACCACTTTCAGCAATCTTCATAAACTATCCAGGTTTTATGCCTTTAAACTTTCTTAAGCATTTAATTAGTATCTTAATGAATTTATTTCTCAAGCTAAAAATACAAAAAATGGCTGATTAAAAAAGAAAAGATTATATAACAGTGGCCACTGCCTCGGAAGGTCTGTACAAATCTTTTAAAGTGTCACTGAGAGCTGTGCTATCACACAAATATATCAGAAGTCTTTGCTTGTCTGGAATAAAGAATATTAAGCATTAAAGTATAACTTCAAGGAGACTTTTAACCAATTGACTTACTGCACCTGAGGTGATTGGATCATATGTGTTCCTTCAGGTCAATTGGGGGAAAAAACCACACATGCCAACTTCCTTTATCTGAGATATGCCATTTAGTAAGCATTTGTATTGTACAATCAGCATTTGAGCTCTAAGTTTTTGAGAGGGGAAAACTTATAGGAATGCAGTGGCATTGTTTTCGGGAGGAATATTGTGCCAAAGCACTTTCATCTGAACAATAATCATATTTTTCCTATATGTAAGACATGCTTTTACTATGTATTGGAAAAGCTTAATAACTTTTATGAAGTTAAACATTAAAAAGGCTCTCTCATGTCTGTAAGGATAGTGGTGTGATGCTTTTGTCTGTAATGTTAATTTTGCTCAGTAAAGATATAAACACTTGAACAAAAAATCTCTAATGTAAAATATTTTTGCAATAATTAAGCAAATAACAAAATGTCTAACTTACAGTTTTTAGTGGTATAAGAAAGTATCATGAATAAATGAATGATAAATTCAGAATCTATAGTGTATATTTTGTATAGCTAACTCTCAGGAGTATCCTAGAGCCTTGTTCTGATCTCTCTTGAAGCTAAAAAGTATGCAGCTTAAACTTTTAGTTTATCCATATAAGTGGCATTAAAAGACATTTCTGTTAGAAGTGAAATGCTGTTTCATTATTATGAACTTCAAACATTGAGGTTACTGTTCAAAATCTTTATTTGAGTTTCTCAGTTTAAACAATATAAATCAAGTTTCTTCTTAGAATTAGACAAATACAACAGTACATCAAGGATATCTAATATTTTAGGAGCCCTTATATGAAATTGTCTACTTCATCTGCAACATAAAGTCATCTAACAAAGTCTTTGGGAAGTTTTTGTTTCAGTGGTCTCGTGTCACCCAAGTACTACACATGCAATAAGTTTTGTTGTGTTTTTATAAACAACATTAGTTAAGACATGCAACCTAATACCCATTTTGCTTTAAAGACAGAGTTTGGTGATTACAAGACCTCTAGCTCAAGAAGCTTTCAGCTACCAGTCACACTAGAAAAATAACTTTAAAAAGGAGCAAACAATAGGATTGCAGCACAAGCCCTTGAACTATGGTAAAAACAGATTCTGTCCACTAAGTCCAAAGAATTAACCTAAGGAATATCACGTACCTCACACCATGACCACACGGCTCACAAGTGACAGCAAGTTCAATTTTGGTAACTGTGCTGGCTCAAAACACACACAGAGAAGCGAGAACCCTGTTCCTCCTCACAAGTTGGAGAGGACGAGGAGCGATAGCATACCACCGACAGGCAGAAAAGGCTGCTTTTGTCTTCAGTGAATATTGATATCATAACCCATAGTCCAGGGAATAAAAAAAATTGAAATACACCCACCAACAACGGGTGAAAAACCAGGGGCTTCACCAGGGCTGCAGGGAAAAGCTCTCTCGCTCTGTTTAGTGTGCGGTAGCTTAGGGGAAAACAATGTCGCCTGGGTACGAATGACAAATGCAGTACGATAGGCTCGCGGGCCTAAGGGATCGGTTTCACTTCCACATCCACCCCCTAATGCACGCAGCCCCACTCATCCTCTCCGAGGCTTTTTTTTTCCACTTTTTTTTTCACAAGCTCCAAATCCCCGGCATATGACCTTCTGTTAAATAGATAAAAAAAAATTGCTTATCAGTCATGCAAATGAGGCTGAATTCATTTTCCACAACAGATGGCCTCATAGATAATGATGATGGAAGAGAGAAAATTGAATGTCTCTCACAAGGTGGCCATGGCAACCGAGAGCAGAATAATATCAATAATAAGCTCACTGCATAATAAGGTTGTCAGTCCTACAAATCAAAGTCTCCAGCTAAATCAGGTATACCACCCCAGCTAGTTACCAGGTAAATAATATATAGATATAATATGTGTTTTTCAGTGACCGTGAAACAAGCCAGAATTCCAAGCCACTCTCCGTGGGAGTGGGGGTGGGGGGAGGGG